AACTCAATAAAAACCAGCTTCTGAACACATTAATTTAGCCACAAATCTATTTTAGTCAACTGATGACACTTACAAATCATTCAGGCAAGTTATAATTAGTTGCTGTCATGCACATATTTCTCAAAAACGGGAGCATATACATTTTTCTCACAACCCTGAATATATTCCTCTCTGGTGTGCGCGTGTGTGTTTGATTTACAAAAGACCAGAAGTTCTGTTCCATGAACAATACCACCAAACTGAACCCCGTAACATAGTTTCTAACTGTAATCATGTCCATTACATCAAAAAACCAGCACAACAAAAAAAGCTGGTACTTTGGATGTTACTTGTCTTATGTTCTATGCTACAGACCTCAGTGAGTGGATGGTGAATCGTATGGCTGTAAAATAATATAGGCTTAAAAAAAACACATGCAGGATGTTTTACTTCTTCATACTATGTTGTGGTAGGGTCCCTTCCCTAAGGAAAAAAATAAACAGCTCAAGGGAACCTGGCTATATGCATAAGTCTATGACAATACCCCTCATGACCTTGTAACATGAGACCACTTAATCAGACCGCATGTTTGTGTGTTACCATATATAGGAGACAAAGTAAAATATATATATATATAAACGACGCCACATGGCATTTGGGGCTCAGTTCTTCGGTATGAACCCAACTGAGTGGTGCCGGTACAAATAAAGTTCCTTCCTGGAAAGAAAAGCCTCGGTATCACAACTCTCTGGGTAAGAATCCTAATCCAGTGTAAATTCAAGTTTTCCATTTGCATGAACTCAGACTATGGGGTTCCTGTTGATTAGAGACAATACAGAATGACAGAGGGATGTTGGCTTTTTCAGTGACACCAGAAAGGACATTTGTAAGAAGTTGTCCCTCTGCACCCCCTGGTATTTCCCTACCACAGTGCTGCCCAGCATCTTGCTCAAAAATGCAGATTTTCTCAGTCCGGCAGCCACTGATGTCACGGGACTCTGGGATCTCAGCGGACTCATATAATAGCTGTGGTTTGAAAGCCGCTTTTCTGCAGCAATTATCCCTGGAGTAAAACCACAAAGCATTAAGTGGACTTAAGAATAAGTTTTAATTTTCAAACTGTACAAATTGCATTTTAAAATACAGGGGTAAGACACTACCATAAATCAAGAAATAAAATTAATTTTTACAGCAATCTCAGTCTTGTGTTATTTATCATTTTAGTAGAGCTGAATAACACGGTAAGAGTATGTAATAGCATACAACAGTGGTTAAGAATTTTTAAGCAAAACCGAAGTATATTAATTAGTCACCGAGATTTATAGTCTAAGGACACAGAAGTCAATAGAAAGGTGAGTTAATAATTGCCTGGAAATTGCATGTGTAAAAAGAATTTGGTACTTTTTAAGTGCTTAAAAAGACATCAATCTTCATGTATCAGAGAAGCATATTAATCAGGTAAGAAAAAAAAAAAATCCCAGTGCCCGAGTTCAAAGACAGACTCCAAAGAAATAGACCAAAAAGCCTTCTATTACTAAAATGCCTACTTGTTACTGCCACCAAAATATTAAAAAAAACAACCACCTTAACACATCCAAGTTAATATCACCAGTAAACGGAACAAATCAATATCTCTGCTGAAGTGTACATAAATTGAATGTAATCATGGGGAAACATCAAACCCAAAGTGAGAGACTTTCTACAAAGTAACTCCCCTGTACTGTTGAAAATGTCAAAGTCATGAAGCGTGAAAAAAAATGAGGGAGCCCCTCTAGAGCAGAGAGGGGACAGGGAATTGTAACACCTGAAGCAGGACTAGAACTTGACCCAGAGCACGTATGTGTTCCGAAGCCCCTGGTGAGGAGGTTCGTGGAGGTCTGCAGTCTAGAGAAAGGCACTGTATCAATGTGAAACGTCCTGATTTGGGTCATGGCACTGTGGCAACGTAAGAGGGTGTCCTTGTTCTTACGCAATCACAAGTTCGTGTTTTCAACTTACTTTCAAATGTTCACAAAATATTATGGAGAGAAAGAGAGAGACGGAAGGAGGGAGAGGGAGAGAGAGATTGCTCCCACAAATGGGGCAAAGTGTTAGAAGTGAGGAATTCAAGCTAAGACTTTCTAGCATCTTGCAACTTTCCTGTTAAGTTTTAAATTATTTCAAAACAAATAGTGATAAAAAATAGTTTTCAAAGCTATCATAGAAACACTAAAAAGATCTCAAACTTTTGGGATATATTTTTAAGCTTCGTATCTAGAGGAACTACTTATTGTATCTATTTGTTTTGGTAAATCTAAACTAAAAATATAAACAAACCAAATTTTCAATTCCATTCAGTGCCTTCATCCTAGAAATTACAGAACTGTGTTGTACTTATTTTTTAATCCTATCAGTTATATGTCTGTTCCAGATCACTATATAGGTTAATGGAAAAAAGTTCTGCATTTTGCACATTCATTTGAAAACTAATTCAAATGTTGATTTTTATAGTTATTTTCTGATAGTTATTTCCTTCTTTTCCTTGCACCTTAATGCTTCCTTTTATCAGTTTCATATCTATAATTGATTTCGAGTCTATTTGAAGGCAGCTTTAAACCAGAATGTTATCTGTTTAGTGGTGCCGACATACTTATATACAAATAAGTTAACAAAAAACTCTGCCACATCAGATCCCCAATGAGTGATATTTTGTAATTATTTTGCAGTGTGATTTCTTAACCTAGACCAAACAACTGTGTCAGAGGCCTACTGTGTAGGATGGAGAGAGGGATGACAGGAAAAAGATACCAATTCCCTATTGCAGCACTTGGCACACACTTGGCACAAAATAAATGCGTGGGGGGGAGGGGCAGGTTATTGCATGATTCCTGTATCATCCTGCCTGTATCATCACAAACCATGAGACAGAGGCTTACAAGTCCAAAGGTGTTAAAATAATGTTTCTGAGAATCTACAGATGTCAAGCAATGTAAGTTTTTGGTGAAAGTGACCGTCTTATGTTTATTTTGGCATGCCTCTAAATATTAAGTTATAACAGAGATGCTATTGTATTAATATCAAAATAAGGCCATGAAAGGTAAAAGGGGGAAAAGAGTCTTGTACACACTGTACGTATTGTATATTAATCCTTCAAGCTAAGAAAAATTTAAAACAACCAGGTTTTTATGGAATGTCACCAAATATAACTGAAAGTTGCTAGTATCGAAATGTCTCAATGTTTGCTTTTCGAATGCCAAATCTACAGGACTGAATGGAAGTTCTATATGACTCACGTCCGGGCTTGTCTACTGTAAAAGGAAAGTTAGGATGACTTTGGGAGAAATCTAAAAGATGTAGGTGCAGGAAATAAGTGCAAAGGAGTTTCAAATACCTTCTCTTTATGATCCAACTATCAGTTAAGCCCTTTGTTTTCTACACAAGGGACAGGTGTGAATTAGTTGAATACAGAAGATACTGAAGATAAACTAAATGTAACGTTTAGGGATAATATGCTAACATCGGTCACTAAATAATAGTTTGAAGCACTTTCATTTTTATTAAAGTTAATCACAATTTCTACTTCAGGATATTCCACAACTAAAGGAAAAAGAGCCATTACAGCTGCTTGAAGTGGGTACAAGTAGAACTGACACACGTTTTAGGAATAGGATTTAAAATATTTTGAACAGGACAGACATCTAACAGGATCAATATTTACTTGAACTTCTTATACTGTGGTACCAAAGGGAGAAACTCCCTGAAAATTTCTTCCATATAAAAATTCAAGATAAAATAGATCAAGCAGTGTAAAAGGCAGAATGAACATTTGCATTTTGAGAATTAGAAAACTAATATATAGAATACACAGTGCTCATTAAAATGTTCAGCTGCAGAGGAGTATTAAAACGTAATGTAATAAAGAAATAGCACCTTTTAAAAATTACATTATCTAAAATGAAAGTTTGCAAAACTATTCCCAACCACGAATCTCCACATGAAGAAAGTGGTAACACAAAACAGTTTTGACAAGTATAATGTTACATGTCAATTGCAAGTGCGAACATTACAAAACATTTAAAGCCAAAGTTACACCCCCATACCTACAGGAGGCAAAAAAAATCCTTTTCTTATTTAATATAAGAAAGTCACATATTTAATATCCTGTCTAAACTAGGTCAGTAAAGCAGCATACCTTAATGTAAGGGGAAAAATATTTAAAGGGCCTACATGAGAATTAAAGCAGTAAGTATTAAAGTATCGTCAGTATGCCTTTCTAGTAACCACATGGCTAGGAGCTTTCCTATAAGACTTTTTTTGCTTGAAACTTAATGGAGTTCAGAATAAAATGAGTCTGTCACATTATACCCCAAAACGTTTCATTACCTAAATATCACAAAGGGATTACCATGATTTTTATGAGATGATTCTAGGTACAGAGAAACCTTTCCCAGCCAGAGTTGGGACTATAACATTATGGTCAGACCCAACGTTATTCTTTTTTTTTTTTTTTTTAACAAGTGAGGCAAAGTATATACTTATATTCTTTATAATCCCTTAAAATCCTTACAGTTGAAAACGTGGTCCTTGAAGTCTAATTCAAATAAAAAGAAATTTGCTTAGTGGTATATGTAATTTTAACAGCCTAGACATATACTCAAAGAGCATTTTCTAATTGTGAAATCTGCTCGGATATTTATCAAAAGCCCTACCATAGCCAATTATACCATGCTTCTGAAAATTGTTACTAATCAAAAATGCTGCCTTCTCACTTGTTGGGATGAGCACTGGGTGTTATATGTAAACCAACTTGACAATAAACTATTAAAAAAATGCTGCCTTCTCACTTGTAAGAAACAGATCTTGGTAAATGCCAGGAATTACCAATACCTTATTAACAGGTTATTATAATTCTGTATCTACTTTCATTTACAAGTATCATATAAATATCACCGGCAAGTATCATAATGTTAAATCATTAAACTAATTTGTAAATATTGATTTAGAAACCTTGGAGCATATGCTGCAAAAAAAAAACTTTAGTGAAACTAAAAAAAAAAAAAAAAGTATTTTTTTTCCCAGGTAATACACTCAATTATTTTCATGATCATCATTGACCTGAGATTGATAATAAACACATGCACGGTTTTTGTAGAAAACTGACCTGGGCACAATGTGAAGACAAATATTAGCAAATACCACATCTCAAGTTATACTCTAGGAAATCATACAAACTGTAATATTGCATAAAGTTGTTTATTCTTGTTATTAAAACTTGGACTCAAGTAATCCGGGTTGTTCTGGAAAAAGCACCTTGTTTGCAGGGATCACTTAATCATCCTTTTCTACAATCACCTCTCCATGAAGCACCTTTCTTCTTTGGCGTAACATGTGAAAATAGAGTTGTGGAAACACTAATTGAAAGAAAGAAGACAAGGGAAGGTATTGTTGAAAATTATTTATACTCCAAAGCTCTTACCTGTAGCAAGCATTGAGGGCAAGCACATCATCCACCACCTCTGCCATCCCAAGTATTCCCAGAGCTCGGGGAAAGAGCATAAATGTGTGCCTCCACATACCATATGCTAATATGTGATGTCCATTTGATTTTGAAAAAGCTTAAAAGTTGGAGGCCCCAGGCCCTGGTCAGGTTTAATGTGCATCCTCATTACATAAAATATTTTATATCGTGTTGATGCAGATTTGGGATACTATAAACTTTTCTTATTTCTTTCGCTCCCTCACAGACACTAATTTTATTGAGAAGGGTAAATAACAGCCTCGCTTTACTTTTGTATTTCCTGCTACTGACTATCAAAATTTGACAGAAAAATATTAACACTGCTGGTATTTCAATGAAGTGAGTAAAGTCTCACCCATTCACTGCAACCTACTGAAAAGGGATGAGAAATTAGTGAAGAGGCTGAATTAATCATAATATTTTAATGGGGCGCCTGGGTGGTTTGGTCGGTTAAGCGTCCAACTCTTGATGTCAGCTTAGGTCATGATCTTGCAGTTCATGGGTTTAAGTCCCACTTCAGGCTCTCTGCTGTCAGTGTAGAGCCTGCTTGGGATTCTCTGTCTCCGCCTCCCCCCCCCGCCCCACCCTTTTACTGCTTATGCATGCTTGCACTCTCTCTCTCCAAAATAAATATTTAAAAAATACTTTTTAAAAAGCAGCTTCATTACATAGAGCAACACACACAAGACTGAAAAGTACTCCTGAATAAGTTTTCCAAGTATATGCTCAAGGAATAGATAGAAATGAACTGATATTTTCTGGATACAATGTTTACCTTCAGATAAATAATTCTAAATGCTGGCAAATAGTTCACTGATGTGTGCTCTATGTTTTCTTTTTAAAAAAGCCATATTAAGCTTCTCTTTAAATGATTTTGAGAAGGTAGTCATTCGGGTTATCAATTTACTTACCTTTTTCCTTATAGTTAGGAAAGAGTCTTTTTTGACTCACTCTTCAATTATTTAAAATTATGAATCCATGGGGGATTGAACAGAAGTTTTGATGTATCTGTAAGCCATAAGGTTGCTTTGCTTATTAAGCCAGCATATGATGATACTTTACAAAAACTTCCACAGCATCTGCTAAATCAAAGTACTAATAACTATACACTTACATGGTATATAGGAGGCCATGGTTATAAGAAGAAAATAATAATAGTCAAAAGAGACATTGTATTTATTAGGAAGTCTTATTGAAAACATTCCTGTCTTCTTCACGTACGGTAAGGCAGCATATATTGTAAGAAGTTCACCAGCAACTCCGACAGGGTATAAGATGATAAAAAAATTGTATCTGGAGAAAAGAAAGACCTCAAAGAATTATTTTTCCAGGGCAACGACTGGGTTTGACATCATCATTCTTTTGCTACTTTTGCTACTGTCTTTAAACTTAAAAATTTGTCCTATACATATTCACAATGCCCCTCGCAGAAGGTTAATGTTTTCTCTACTTGAATCGTTTGCTTATAAATTTAATGATCTTCCTTTTTTCTCATACCAGTTTTCATTTTAGATGACAAGATCTTAATAAAATAAGAAATCAACTTCCTTTACAGTACTGAAATAATGGTATAGATGTTAAAAATGTATATGTAGTTTCTTATTGCAAAAGACATGTCTTGTGAATACTGTGAAGTACCTGTATGTATTATAACGTTTTGTAAAGGTAACTTCTTTGACCCCTGAAATCAGAACTGAGCTAGTCACTTCTCAGTCAAGGGCGGTGCTTTAAAAGACCCGTTGTGATCCTAACTTTATACCTACATCTTGAAATTACCAAAGTGGTTCTTTGGAGGCCTTTGAAAACCCCCTTATGGTTACTAATTAAAAGGGAATGAAGTACCATTTCAGAAAACTAAAAAACTACCTAACGTTTCAGGAACTACTGACGAATATATTGCCTAAAACTGCTTTCGTAACAAAACAAGTAAGACAAGCTGTTTCCAAAACTCCCACGTTAAAGGAAGCATCAGTTTGCTTCAAACCGAGCTGAGAAGGTTCTTTCCACAGTCCCAGATCACGGTTTGTTCATCTGGGCTGTGGCGGGGCCTCTGACACACAGTAGGCCGGCCGGCCCTTCCGCCACAACGAGACAGGCTCTGCAAGCCTCTGCCGGCCTCCAGGAGAAGGAGCCTCAAGGACCCAAGGCAATGTTTCTCCATCAAGGAATGTCATTTTTCTCCAAGGCAGTTGCCACAGGAAATAAAGGTCAAAATCTCGGCGGAAAAAGAAAGAAAGCAGATTAATCCATATTTTATTTACTCATGTTCTTGGCATTAAGAAAATATTTACAGAGAAAAGTTAAGTTCATCAGCATGGTAGGAACTCGGAGACAACTTAAGAGTCACCTTGTTCTTGCACGTCAAGGACGTTCCAGAATAAGAGATGGGAGAGGAACGGAACTGTCTGCCAAACTAAATTAAGTGGAGAAAGAAAAGACCAATGACCCTTTTACCATCCCTGTTTACCCCTCCTTGCTTTGCGAATATCCTCGGCTTTCTTACTACTCTCTCTGTAGATACTTGTATGTTATTTAAATCACTCTGTTCCAATCTTAATCTCCTAACTCAATTTAAAATCATATAACTGATGGGGCGCCTGGGTGGCTCAGTTGGTTAAGCATCCAACTTCGGCTCAGGTCATGATCTCGTGGTTTGTAGGTTTGAGCCCCGCCATCAGATTCTCGGCTGACAGCTCAGAGCCTGGAGCCTGTTTCAGATTCTGTGTCTCCCTCTCTCTCTGACCCTTCCCTGCTCACAATGTCTCTCTCTCTCTCTCAGAAATAAATAAAACTTTAAAAAAATAATAATAATAAAATAAAATCATATAACTGAACACTTTATAAGCCCTTCTCAGGTAAAACGTTCAAATTTATTTACGTGGTTTTTAAAGTTTATGTGACTTTCCAGTGAGGTTTTTGGAGGCATTGTTCTTCAACAGAAAAAAACACATCACTCCTAGAGCGAACTAGTCTAAGGCCTCCAGCCACTATTTTTAATGTAACGAGAAAGAATCATACAATTTACTTTCTTTGCATTTTAAAAAGACCACATGTCACCAACTCTTTAAGTTCTGAGGCAGCCTGGAAAATATAACTACTTGTTGAGAAAACAATATAATGCCTCCTTAAAGATTCTTAATGGTCACCTATAATGTTTTTGAAGGGAATGAATTTTGGAAATCATAATGGAAATTCACTTAAAAACATAATACAATATATAAGTACCTATTCAGTGGACTTTTCTAACCCATAAATAGAATCAAAGTATATTCAAACTGTCAGACTAGGCCGGCTATTAATAAATAAGAAGCCATTCTTAAAGTGAACTTGTACTTGAGAACAACAGCCTCAACATTTGAACATAAATACAAATATTATTTTAGGTTTTTAATGAGGTTGGCAAATACAGCTGGGATCTTTAAGATTTCTGACATGAAATAAAATGATTCACGATTAGGATTAACTGACATGTATCACGCTAACATGTGCATTCCAAAGTTGAAAGCGTTTATAGTACCTGGTTTAACATTAACGCGACTGAAGAAGGATTTCTAAACAGCAAATTGAAACGTGCAATGGCAGAGCTTTGCACTACATGCAAAATGCATTCCAAGAGGCAGGCAGACAGAACGTTAAAGATATTTACCTTCCACAAACAGATTTTGTAAGTACAGGAAATGAAGAAACTCTATCATGAATTAGTATTTTCAAAGGTGCTAGAGGCCTGGAAGACGGGGACCATGCAAGATGGCACTGAGGGACATTCTCGGATTAGTCCAGCAATACTCCAGCCCGCCAACCGCGTGAAAGGCCTGATCGCTCAACGTGAACAAATGTTCAGCTACAGTGAGAAAAAAACCAACCAAATGGACATCAACGGGAGCCCAGCCTTCTTACGATGGACAGTACGTTAAAGTTCAAATAATAATTTTAAAGCGTTTTCAAGAAACAAAATGGTAAGCCGCAAAGGTCTAAAAAGGAGCTGGGGCATGTAAAAAAGTCTGAAAGAAGATAAATCCAATTAACAGTGAGTATCCTGATGGACAGGGATTATAAACAATTTAAAAGGGTTTTTTTCTTTAGTTTGGATTTTTTGTATATTTTACAGTTCGTGATCTATGAACATGCATAATATATGAGTTAGGGAAAAGGAGTCATTACTTAAGAAAAGTGTTAGGCTTTTAATATATGGGAATCAAAAACAAATCTGACACTAGCTGTATGCTGACTTTCAGATAAGTTAGGAATGTGTTAACATAAATATCAGAGTTTTAAAAAATAGAAATGGGGTGCCTGGGTGGCTCAGTCGGTTAAGCATCCAACTTCAGTTCAGGTCATGATCTCATGGTTTGTGGGTTTGAGCCTCACATCGGGCTCTGTGCTGACAGCTCAGAGTGTGGAGTCGGCTTCCGATTCTGTGTCTCCCTCTCTCTCTGCCCCTCCCCTGCTCATAGTGTGTCTCTCTCAAAAATAAAATATTTTTTAAAATTTTTAATAAGAAATAAAAAACAAAAATATGGGGGCGTCTGTATGCCTCAGTCAGTTAAGCGTCTGACTCTGGATTTTGGCTCACGTCATGACCTCACAGTTTGTGGGATCAAGCCTCAAGTTGGGTTCTGCACTGATAGCACAGAGCCTGGAGCCTGAGTTGGATTCTGTCTCTCCCCCCTTCCTACCCTTCTTCTGCTTGTGCTCTCTCAAAAATTATAAATAAATGAACATTTAAAAAATCTTCTTGGGGAGCTTGGGTGGTTCAGTCGGTTAAGTGTCCGACTTCGGCTCAGGTCATGATCTCATGGTTTGTGGGTTTGAGCCCCACGTCGGGCTCTGTGCTGACAGCTAGCTCAGAGCCTGGAGCCTGCTTCGGATTCTATGTCTCCCTCTCTCTCTGACCCTCCCCTGCTCATGCTGTGTGTCTCTCTCTCAGAAATAAATAAAACGTTAAAAAAAATTTTTTTTAATCTTCTTAAAAAACAGATATATGGATATAGCATTGTTTATAATATCTCACGACAGGCCTTCTACTATTAGCAAACTGGAAATTATCTGAATTCTAGCAACAGAGAGCTGGCCAGCCGTCCTGTGGAATACTGCATTAAGAGTTACAGCTAGATCTAAATATTCCTGTGTTGACTTTAAAAAAAAAAAGTTCCAAGATATAAACAAAAGGCAAATACAATGGCATTCTATTTATGGTTTTAGGAACTCACATCTGTGTGTTCACATCTTCGTTAACATGAAAAGATCTGGGCAGGTACACAGCAAACATTCCCCCCCCCCCCCCCCCCCCCGCCCCAGGAAGCAGGCTGGCGAGGTGGGAAGACACCTAGAAACTTTCCATGTTGACTCTATATGCTTTGTGCTTTTGAGATTTCTGCTGTGAAGACATACTCCTTCTGTGGTTTAACAAAAAATGCAAAGGATGGCAACATCGCCGAGCCCTGCCTACGGAGAACAGACACGCGGGGGCACCCGTACGTGGGATATCTTGCTCACCCCAGCTGCACTTCCCACCACCTGGCATATCACATAGCTGTCAGTGGCGTTACGTTTGGTCTCCCGTGTCGTGAGAACACAGAGTTTTTCTTGCGTTCAAACCTGCATGTCGGGTGTGCAGGATGCACACAACACACGTCACTCTTGCAGCGACAGTCAGCAGGACAAGGGAAGGAAATGAACAAATCCATGCTGGCTGGCGTGATTTGTTCTTCAAAGAGCAGTCTTGTTTTCATAATAACTTTGGAAAATATCGGGTGCTCAAAGAATTCAAACGTAAAAAAAAAAACCAACATAAAAGGTGCTGCTTTAGGATAGATCTATTTAGAACCCTTGAAATACAAATTTTGTCACGTTCCAAATAATGCGGTTTAGGTAAGGATGACCTTTAAAAATTTCTGTCTCTGGTACTTAAAATGTATCAAAGAAGCGGACATTATAGGGGCACCTGGGTGGCTCAGTCCGTTAAGCGTCCAACTCTTGATTTTGGCTCAGGTATTAATCTCACAGTTTGTGAGTTCGAGCCCTGCACTGGGCTCTGCACTGGTAGCAGGCAGGCTGCCTGCGGTTCTCTCTCTCCCTCTCTGCCCCTCCCCTGCTTGAGCTCTCTTTCTCTCTCTACATAAATAAATAAATATTTAAAAAAAAAAAAGAAGCTGACACAGTATATATAAGATCCTAAAAATTATGAATACTCAATTATTGCAATATTTTAAATCATTCAGACAAAAGGCCCCATTTTTGGCACAGTGTTTATTTAATATAATTCCAAAAAATGTATTTTGCTTTTGAAGAAAAATAAATGACCAATGCAGGTTATTTAAGGATACTGATATAATTTGCCTTGCACTGATTTTACTCAAAATATATATTAATATGCTTTTTTTTCCTCTGATCATTAAACTAAGCCTTTAGAATGCAAGTTATTACACGGCTAATAGCCAAAATCCAGCATCCTGGCATCATGGGGCTAAGGCACAAATTTCAATGCTCTGGTGTTAGCACACAAGACGCGCATGCACAGGGCTGTGAGCATTTCAACCACAAGACATTGCCACCTGGCCCATTTAATGAAGTATGGCAAGTGGTCGAGAAGACTGAATGTGTAGAAGGAATAGCGAGTGATCTCTGTCACAGTCCACGCGACCAGAAAAAGCACCACGCTCTCCTCATTCTGGATCTGCAGAATCACAGAGAAATCCACAGTGTCGTTTAACCTTGAACGTTTTCCTCCACGAAGACATTACAATTTAGTTAATTACTGTGTTTTCTTACACTGGAACCTTAGGGGCAGACCGAGGCTAGACGGCAAACTTCATGCAGTCCCCATTACGTCATCCATTCTAACACACAACCTGACCACGACCGGGGCATAGGGAAGGTCAGATCTCTACTGCTTTCTCTTCCTCAGCCTTCTGTCCAGCCGCTAACCAACCACCCGAGGACAACATCGGCCCCTCAAAACCAGCATGGGAACAATCGGACATTACGGCTCCGCCTTTCTATTGGCCACCTGACGCGCCATTCTTCCTCAGCACTAGCTCCTGCCCCGGTCGGCTCCCTGTTTCCTGCTCCCCCCACTGTGATTCAGGGCTCCTCTCCCATCCCCACTACTGTAACAGCCTCCTGAATTCTCGCTCTGCCCTCTAGTCTCTTCATGGATGGAAGTTTTCTCTTAAAAGCAAAACAAGCAAACAAAAACACACTTGGAAGTAGCTCGTCTGTGATTTAGAGGTTTCTCTGGCTCCTCATTGCTTAGCAGGAGAAGAGGGTAAAATCCTATCCCCTCTGCACGGTGATTGGGGGGTTTTTTTGTTTTTTGTTTTTTATAATCTGAGCTCAGAAATCTCTCCAACTTAACCTGCAATCTCAACATTCCACGACTACCTCTCTTTCTCTCTCTCAGTACTAACTTTGTATTATTTCCAGAACATGCTCTGAACATTTACATCTTAACACATCCCTCCATGGCAATGCTACTTACTGGCTCCCACAGAAAACCCTCTGTCATCCTTTAAGATCCAGCTAAAACATCACACCCTCTGGAAAACCTTTCCCAAACCCCCCTTTCACCCTGAGCAGGTACTTGCTCACCTTCCTTCTTCAGATCCGTATTATAACACTTGCCATTTCATTTTAAAGTTCTGTGTGCCCAACCCTTGCATATCCATCACCACACGATTTACACGTTCCTTCCTCGGGGAAGCCTTCCTTCCCTCCCTTGGTCACACTAAGTCCCCAGGTATAGTGTGATACAATACACTCGGCCTGTTTCAAAGCACTGACACTAACGTAATGAAACCTTCACAGCTGACCCCGGAACAACAGGAGGGTTAGGGGGCTCAACTCCCCCCGTATAGTCCAGAAGCCCGCGTATAACTTTTGACTCCCCCAAAACTTAACTACTAATAACTACTGTGGACCAGAAGCCTTATAGGTAAGATATGAACAGTTGAAGAACACATATTTTGCATGTTATATGTATTATGTACTGTATTCTGACAATAAGGTGAACTAGAGGAAGGACGATCCTATCACGAAAACCTTAAGAGAAAATACACTTACAGTACTTTACTGCGTTTGTCGGAAAAAAAGATCTGTGTATGAGTGGACACGTGCAGTTCAATCGCATGTTATTCAAGGTCAACTGTATTTGTACAACTGCTCGTTTACCATCTCGCCCAGCCACAGGCTCCACACGGCCGGGGCTGTATTTGTATTATTCACGGCCAGATCGCCAGCACAGTCTCAGGCACAGAACAGATGTGCAATCGGTATTTCTCGACTGATTCTACATCTGTCTGACTGCACACCCCCCCCCCCCACTTCCCAACAGCCAGCGTGCCCAATAGCTGTGACTGCCGCAGCCGTTTTTTGTAAATTCAGACATCAGCACAGTGCCCAGTGTATACAGGCACTTAATAAACATTGGCTAAATTAATTAAAGAGTGGTGGAAAGGTGCCAGTGGGAAACTATTGTTGGAGAAAATTAAATAGCAAGATTCAGGCAGAGACCCTGTGGAGGACGAAAAAGAGCAGATGGGCCGTTTTTCTCTTGGGGGCTAGCGACCTGCTAGATTCTCTTTCACTTCTTTTCCACAGGTATGTTGGCCACCCCATCTTGTCTTTCTTTTTCCTTAGTCTTCCGACCCTTTGTAGTCCTGGCCCAGCTCTTACATTCGAATGCTCGCTGTCTGGAAGAGTCTCTCTTTAATTTTGTTAATGTTGGGCTCCTGCTTTTCCACTGCGCAGCCATCTGGGAAAAGCGCAGGCACTCGCTGCGAGGTGCGTGGCGGCCAGCGGTGAGGGCCCAGGTGGACTGAGGTGAGTGAAAGGCACTGGTCAGAAGGGCTAACGTGCAGAGCGGCGAGAGGGCAGGAGGGCAGTGATCTGTCCCCACGCGGACGCGGGCCAGGAAGTCTAGCAGGCGAGGGGAGGGAGTTAAGGTATCATTTCAGGCGGACTAGGGACAAGAAAGGCATCTCAGGAATGGAGAGGAGGCCAGAGATCTGTCCTCAAGTAGACAGGAGACGCTGGAGGCTGTCAGAAGGTCAGAAGGGCCCGTCTGGGAAATGTTTCTGCCATGGGTTTATAAGGCCCAGTGTCCTGACACAGTGATCATGGTGTGTGTTTGTCTAAAAAGGTTTAAGCCACTAATTAGACTTCGGTCTGTCTCCTGTCATGCCTCAGTAAATAACATGCTAATTTGTCCTAAATTCCTCAGCTCTTCCAACTTTTCATTTTGTCTTCCCCATTTGCTCACATCTACAGAGCTACATTTGCTTTTTTATGCCTCTTGCTATGCCACGCAACGGTGAATGAGGAACAATCAACTGTTTACACTGACGACCTCAGAATACACATCAACAGAAAAGAACATTTTTGGTTAGCTATTTGATGGAATATGAACATTAATTTTAAAACTGAGAAACATCAGAGGAGAGTAGATTGTGGACATAAATACTTAGTTTGCTTGTGTTACAAGGTCATTCCACTAATGCACTAAGTTAATGTACGTTCACACGTAAATCCAAACCCAGCCCTTTTCTGTCTAGTGGTTCGGCCTCCTGAAATATAGCAATGTTAATATTTTAGACTCCTATTAATAAAAAGCTACATGAAGGCACATGAAGAGAACACGTTAGCGTCACTTACTGGTTTTATACTGTGAGTAATAAGCCACACCATAAAGATTCTTGAACTCACTTGGACCCCAGTCACAATCACAGAAGTAGGTACAATTCCTTAAAGAGAAAAACAAGTCAGGGGTGCCTGGGTGGTTCAGTTGGCTAAGCATCCAAATTCGGCCCAAGTCATGATCTTGCGCTTTGTGACTCTGAGCCCCACATCAGGCTCTGTGCTGATAACACAGAGCCCGCTTGGGATCTGATCCTCTGTCTCCCTCGCTCTCTGCCCCTCCCTTGCTCTCACACTCTTCCCTCTCCCAAAGTTAAATGTTAAAAAAAAATAAAGTCAACCATTGCTCTGGAGTCAATTCATACCAACCATAAAAATTAAATCAGAAACTCACCAATTAAACAGTGGACTATCTGCAAGCAAATAAAAAAAAAAAATCACAAGTCAATAGCATGCAACATAAAATAAATCCCTGTGAACCCTGGCTTTCTACAAATCCGTAGGTGGTATGTCTTCAGCAAAATACGATTGGTTTTGCTCCACAAATAATTTTTCAAATAAATATCATAACAATAGAAAACCAGCATCATAGGAAACTTACCTCAAGCAAGGCAAATGTTTGGAAAAATTTAAGTGTCTTCTGAATACTTTTATATAAACCTTTGTGTGTTCCTTTTTCCATATAAAAACGTACCATGGCAATAGCTAGAACCAACCACCTAGAAGAAACAAAAGGATTTTATAAAGTTCTACCAAAATGAACGCCGCTGAGCTTCCTGAAGAGAAATGGTGTAGTTTAGAGTAATAATAGGTATGTTTCATTATGTTCTCAGTTCATTATTCTTTTTAACAAAACCCACAGGAAGAAATGACACTGTTTTTATACAGACTCTCCAAGGGGGATGAACACAACATATTGGAGACCCACGAGATCCAAATGTCAAACGATGCCCACTTCATGTTTGGTTTCAGCAGATAAACTTATGGACTGAAGAAATTAGCTTTATGTACCAAAGTGAGGTTATCAAGTATTTCATAATTATACTAGTATTTCCTAAGATACAAAACTTTTGAGTATAAGCACGTACTTACGCAAATATACAGTATATCCTTACATATAAGTGTAAGTAAAAATCTTTCATAATAATTATTTTATAATGTTTTTGTTTATTTTTGAGAGAGACAGATTATGAAAGGTGTGGGGAGGGGGGAGGGAGGAGAGCAGAGGGAGAGAAAAAGAGGGACACAGAATCTGAAGCAGGCTCCAGACTCTGAGCTGTCAGCACCGAGCCCAACGCGGGACTCGAACTCAAGAACCGTGAGATCATGACCTGAGCTGAAGTTGAACACTTAACCAACTGAGCCACCCAGGCATCCTTCATACTAATTAGTTTTTGTAGAATTTGCATGAAATAAGAACAACAGTTGGGCCACACAAGGCATACATATAGAAGGCCATATACGGGCCTGGCTTAAAAGAGTTTGTTTTACAAAATGGACCAAGTACATATGGCTTCCCTTTTCAACTTATATTTGTACATGAAACAGAGGTTCTGTGTTGTGAATCAAAGGCGTTTCAAACACAAACTACACCTGTGGAGAGCAGGTTTCTCACCTGAGGCTCCATCTGCCAGAGACACTCACGAGAGTTCATGTTTTTCCACTTTCGGGCACAATTACAAGAGCACTTTTTAGGTTGTAAAAAGGTGCACCATCTATAACTTTTTAAAATCTGTAATAACACACCCATGGAAATAAATGTGTTAAAAACCCCAGGATTTTAATCCCGTGGTCTCCAAAGTGTCTAGTTAAATGGGTTTATGAATGATAACATTTTTATGCAGTTTTAACTTTTTAACTAAAGAACACTCATAAAATGGACAAATGGCTTAAAGATTCCCACAAAGAAACTACTGGTTGAATGTGATGACCATGGTCACCAAGGTGAGCAGAAGAAAATGGCGGTGGGCACTTCTGCTCCGGGCACTTGCATTCCTCCTCAGCACATACCAAGGTGAAAGCAGGGACATTCCCATGACAAGAAGTCAGGTAAGGTCTGAAACTATCAGCGAGCCCTCCGAAATGTGGAAATGGTAATGGTAACAGTGAGGAGAATCATCGGTGTACTTTCAGAATTCTTTCATGTTCTAGATAATATTCTAAATGCGTATTTAACATGTGAATATTTCACCCTCACAAAAGCCTTGTGAGGTAGGGACTGCTATTATCCTATTTTACTGCTGAGGAAATGGGCAGGAAAGGACACAGAGCCAGGCAGCTGGAATGTAAACCCACCGCTGAGCTCAGAGTCTATGCTCCTGAACCACGATGCAGTACTGGTCTGGCTCTAGGTATATACTATGCCTTGCGATATTGGTTACTCATAATATTTCATATATTTAAATTACAAGTAAATTTCAAAACTTATACGGAGAGGGGCGGCCTGGGTGGCTCGGGTGGTTGAGTGCCCTACCCTTGGCCTCGGCTCAGATCATGATCTCATGGTCCGTGAGTCTGAGCCCCACATCGGGCTCTGTGCTGGCAGCATGGAGCCTGCTTGGGATTCTCTCTCTCTCCCTCTCGCTCTGCCCCTCCCCTGCTCATGCTGTCTCTGTCTCTCTCAAAATAAATAAATAAACTTAAAACAAAGTTATAAGGAGAATTATGCTCAAATATTATAACTGATAGTAGTGTACTATCAAAAAGGTTTGAAGGACACTGTTGAAGATGAGACAGTCACATCAAGTGACTTACTACCCTAAGTATTAAGATCAGCGGTCCAGTTAGACAGAACCCATGAGGTCTCCTAATCCCCCAGGCTATTCCCGCCCTACAATACCCCGGCTTTACTAGATTCAACAGATGGCTTCATCCCATAGTGGCCAACGCTGAATTCTGTGCTGGGATAATCTGGGTGATATTTTAGATGCCTTCCAGGTTTAAAATGTTATGATTTCATTATCTCCAATTCTAAGTCCCTATATACTAACAATAAGAAAACAAACAGCTTAGTAAGACGTTTAAATTCACATTTTCCATCCACTGTCCTCTTCTTTGTTTAGGAAAGTCCAAATTAGATTTTTACAAAAGATCATTTCGAGAGATTATTTTTAACGTACCAAAGCATTCACCCAAGGACTCATGTAGACGGCAAGTTCTCTATGTTAAATAGTGTGACATAAAAATCTATGCTGAAGAACATGGTAACAAATTCTACTTGTGTCCCATAGGTGGCAGTATTGTACCACCTACTGTGGTATTATGATCCCAATTACTAACTTGTTTGAAATTAAAAAAAAAATTAACACTCTGGGTGGGGTTAGAAAGGACCACCTCTTATCTATTTTTCAGTCGATATGGCCAAGAGCTAATCTGAACTAATCAGTGATCACTTTCTAAGCCCACCATCACAAGGGAGTGACAATCAAAGTCTCCCATAAGGGCCCTACGTTTAACTAACTTTGGACGTCCTACATTCGTTAGTGACTGCAATTCAAAGGCAAAAAACATTCAAAGGCAATTAGAGCTTCTGCAATTGGGAATTCTTTTCTGGAAAGTTCTGTTTATAAAAAATATGCCAGAGCTACTGATTACCCAAATATGAACCCAGATAGATATGCTCAGTCCTTGAGAAAATACTCCCTTTGGAAAATATATACACATGTGCTCTGTATGTAGAAGACTGCTTGCTCTCTTGCTTAGGTCATTTCCTTATCTTCACATTCAGCACTTATTGCTAAGCCAGGTAGTGTGCTATGTGCTGGGAAATTAGAAATAAATAAGACATAATCCTTGACTCAAGAAACCATTAAATTAGCAAGTGGAGAAAACAAGGCAGTGGCATCACAGGAGGTATGTGCCGTAACTCACTAAACACACGGCCTTCTTGCCAGGCCAGTATGCCCTCCATGTCCCTGAAAAATCTTATTGGAGGAATTCTTTCTTCTGTCTCTGGCGCCCTGTTTTCTTCTGAGATTTCTTGGAGACAGCCTGCTCCATAAGGAACTTGGTTACCTAAACCTGTATCTTCTTTTCGTATTTCAACACTTGTTTAAAAATTTTAATTATGAACAACTTCAAATATATACAACAGTACAGAGAATGGTGGAATGAGCCCCTATGTGCCCACTGTCCAGCTTCAACCATTATTATCTTATGGACAATCCTGAATTATCCAAACCTTATTCACTTCTCTCCTCACCACCCCTGCCCCTCGTTATTTTGAAGGAACTCTAATACATCCTATAGTTTGATTCATAATAAAAGGATTGCTTTTACTAAACATTACCATAATACCATCATCCCATGTGAAAAATTTTAACGACCACATCTTAGATCACAAGATGTAGAGTCGGATACAAGCTTCCTCACACTTTATTATTTTTTTAAAATGTTTATTTATTTTTGAAGAGAGAGAGAGACAGAGGATGAGTGTGGAAGGGGCAGAGAGAGAGAAGGAGACACAGGATCTGAAGCAGCTCCAGGCTCTGAGCTGTCAGCACAGAGCCCAACGTGGGGCTCGAACTCACAGTCCATGAGATGATGACCTGAGCTGAAGTTGGACACCCAACCGACTGAGCCACCCAGATGCCTCTCATGCTTTTTAAAAATGATTGAAATAAGGTTCATAGTTTGTAACTAGTTGTGCTCTTTCATGACTTATTTAACTTATAGGTTTCCCCTCCCTTCCTCTATCCACTCCTTTCTCCTTCCCTTTCTTTCTTGTGAAATTTGTCTGTTGAGGACACTGAGTGGTTTATCCTGCAGACTCACCCTCTGTCTAGGTTTTGCTAACCAGACACCCACGTGCCGTTTATTATGTTCTTCTGTCCCCTGTATTTCCTGTTGACAGTTTCAGGGGCTTGATCAGATAGATTCACATCGGAGGCTAATTCCTAAGTTGTGCTGCGCACTTCCCTAAAGAGCGCATGATTTCTGGCTGTCCGTCTTGTTTGTAATGTTAGCAGTCATTGCCGATCATTGCCTAGGTCCATTAGTTCAGCAGTTATTGAAACGTGATGATATTCTAATTTTATCATGTCTTCTTGACACGCCCTATAAAGTAGCCATCTGGAGACTCGTACCCCTGGACTTCCATATGTTGTTCACTGACACCACTAAACTTGCTTTCCTAGACAAAATTAAAGTTTTATTTCACAGCCAATATGTGTTACAACTTACTACACATAGACACTCATGCCAATGAAATTAAGCTGAAAGGTTCACTAAAGAAAAAAAAAACAGATAAACTAGACATGGTCAAGATTAAGACCTTCTGCTCTTTGAGGGACACTGTGAGGAGAATGAGAAGCCAAGCCACAACTAGGAGAAAATATTTACAAATCACGTATCTGAGAAAAGACCTGTATCCCTACTATATTAAAAACACTCGTAGAACTCAGTAACAGAAAATCAAACAACCTCACTTAAAATCAATGGGTGTTAAGATTTGAACAGGCACTATATCAAAAAAGATATACAATTGGTAAGTAAATACATGAAAAGATGTTCAGTGTCATGAGTCACTAGGGAAATGCAAAATAAAATCACACAGAGATAACACAATACACCCATTCGAATGTGTAAAATTACAATGACTTGACCCCATCAAGCGTTGATGAAAGATGGACACAAGCTGGAGCTCTCATTCACTACCCATCGGGATGTAAAATGGCACAATCACTCTGGAAAAGGTTGGCAGTTCTTAAGAAATCAAAATGTGACTACCATACGATCCAGCCATTCCACCCACAGCTTTTCACCCACGAAATACGAAAGCATACGTTCAAAGACTGTGCATGAATGCTCATGGCACTGTCATAGCCAAAACCTGGGAAGGACCAAAGCGTTCCTTCAACAGATGAATGGATAAACAAAGTTGTGGTAGATCCGCCGTGTGGGATAAAATACGTGTCTGTTACCTAACATCTGGGGAAATGTATATGCCTGAACCTTGGGTCTGGTACTCTAATAACTCATACTATCTATACTCTGAAACTATCTTAAATAGTTTCTCTTTCTGTGTCTAGCGCCCTGCTGATCAGAGCCATGATCTCTTTATTCCTTGTAGCACTCTAGCAAAGTAATTGTGTTGTTCCAATCTACAGGTAAGAAAACTCAGGGTCAGAGAGGTTAAGTGACTTATCTGAGGCCACCTGGCTAAAAAGGAGACAAGCAGAGCCTTTAACCAACACCTTACTGTGCTATTTACAGATTATAACCCATATATGTTAGCACGGCATTTAAGGCCCTGTGCAATGGTCCAGGCTCCCATCCAGCTTCATTTCCACACACCCCCCCACACACACACACTTCAGGCCCACTTGTTGTTGCCTCAACAACATGTCTAGGAATGTCACATTTCTGTACCCTGCTTCACACTGTCTCCTCATCCATGCCTATCAAATCCCACTGATCCTTCAAAGCTCAGTTACATGCTATGATCTCTACCACAAAGCGTTCTCGGATTCCCACTGCCTGTCTGACCTGTGACCTCTGCTGAGCACCATCTTTTATTGCAATATATAAATGCTCCAGGTCACACTTCTGCAAGGACAGAGTTTAAAATATTTAGCTTATGTCTTTTATTTGACCAAGGGCAATGCACTTAACAGGTCTGGACTCAAAAGTCCTGAAAAGGAAAAAAAAAAGACAAGACATAAAAAGAAAAGAAAAAAGAAGAAAAAAAACCACACTCACAGAGAGTACGTTCACTTCTCTGGTCAAGTATCTATTATGAACAAACACCATAAAAACCCTCACATCCTTCAAAGGTGTAATTCTACTCCTGGGAATTCACCTGTACCATGTAATTCAACAGAACAAATAAAAGCAAATGGTCACTAGGGGAATGATTTAATCCATTATTATTCATTAACTCTATACACTCTGATGTAACCATAAAAGAATATATTTACGAAAACCACACAGAAATATCTAGTAGAATATTACATGAAAATAGGCTACATGATTGGGCAGATCATAACTACAATGGTCCGTGAGATGCCTTTTGGAGCTTACACTTTAACTGGGGGAGGTAAAGGACAATAAGCAACAAGCTCAATTAGTAAAATACACCGTACAGTTATATGGCAATAAGTGCAATGAGAAAAAATAAAGCAGGCAAGAGGAATAATAGTGTAATGGGGACATATTCCATTTGAATGAAGATAGCTAGGGAAAGCCTCCCTGAAAATGGAGATTTGAGCGAGAAGTCTGAAGGAAATTAGATACTCACATAAAAGCTAAGAAAAAAAGGAAGGTCTTGCTAAGCTTAGACAATTAGGCAAGTTCTTTTTTTTAATTTGTTAATGTTTATTTGTGAGAAGGAGAGAGAGAGATAGAGAGGGAGAGACAGAGTGTGAGCAGTGGAGGAGCAGGGAGAGAGGGAGACAGAATCTAAAGCAGGCTCCAAGTTCTGAGCTGTCAGCACAGAGCCCGATGCACAAGGGGCTGGAACTCAGATTGTGAGATCATGACCCGAACAGAAGTCGTCCACGGAAGTCGTCCGCCGGTTAAGGGCTAACATTTTAAGGGACTAGGCCACTTGGGCACCCCTAGGCAAGTTTTTTTTTATGGTTCTGTAGATAGATACTGCTAATCTGTTATTTTATTGTTTTCAAACCTATTACAAGAAATTAATGAATTTCAAAGTTCTGCTAAAAGAGAACAAAATAACCAAGTTAAATGGACAAACAAAAAGAACCTCAGCTAACTCTCTGCTACCCATACTATTCGATGCATACCTTTGTGCCTCATTTTTTCACACCACAACCTCATCTGCCTCTATTCCCCAACACCGCCCTTCAGTTAGATTAAGAGAATATATCAGGCTTTTCTGCATCTCATGCGTATTTCGAGAATGTATCTCACTCGAAGTATCTACCCTCCATATGTGCCAATCCTATTCCTTCTTCAAATCTCAGTGCCTCTAGGGGCACCTGGGTGGCTCAGTCAGTTAAGTGTCCAACTTCGATCTGGTCATGGTCTCACAGTTCATGGGTTCAAGCCCTGCATCGGGCTCTGTGCTGACAACTAGCTCAGAGCCTGGAGCCTGTCTTCGGAGTCTGTGACTCCCTCTCTCTCTGACCCTCCCCTGCTCACGCTGTCTCTCTCTCTCTCCTAAAAATAAATAAAACATTAAAAAACTTAAAAAAAAAAATCTCTGCCTCTAGAAAGCCTGCAAAGAGTTACATGAATTACTCCATTTTGGTTGCCTTTGCTCTTAAACAGTGATGAAAATGACAAGGGACCTTCTCAACACAGGCAGGGGACAGATCTAAGTTTCAGATATGCAGTAGTTGGCTGGGCAGGAAGGAAAGATAGGAATGAAGTGTGAGAACACAAAGGACAGGGCATTTCATTCTGCTCCAGGTGGGGTGGGAGACCTAATGTCCAAGAGGTTGGCTTGATTTAGAAATCATATGAGGAATGAGGAGGATGTTATACAAAGAGTGAACAGCCTGAGCAAACAATGGAGAGAGCCGTGAAAAGAAAAATGCAGGGTGCTCGGCCAGCATTAGGAGTTAGAGTTGACTTCAAACGCCCAGTAAAACTGGAAATGAGAATCAGGGAGGATATTGCAAAGGCCCTTGAACGACAAAGGGCCTAAATCCCTTCGGTTAGAGGAGGTAATGGGGACTCGCAGGAGGCTTTAAACAGTTATGCTAGTTTCAATGGTTAACTGGGGTTTCAAACGGGACAGTGGACTAGAAAGGGAAGGGACAGCACACCAGTTAACAAACAGCAGGTATTCTAAAAATGTTTCTTAACTGCGTGAGGCTATCACAAGAGAGAACATTCTTTCAGGTTCCACCGTACCTAAAGACAGCCGGCGTGGTGGGCAGTCGGTCGTTCTGCAGTTGCTCTGAATATATTATTTGTCTCTTTCAAGATTATACAAGTTACTAAAGCGTAAGGCAGAGAAACAGCAAATCTCTGAAGTCAGACTGTGTAGGCTGAAATCCAAGTCTGACACCTGCTGGTTGTATGATCTTGAGCAAATTACTTAACCACTTTGTGCCTCAGTTTCCTAATCTGTCAAGTGCAGTATCTCATGTACCCCTCACAGGATGGGAGAGAACTGAAAATAACACAGTACGTCTACAGTAACCAACACAGTATTTGACACACAGTAAATCCTTGGTAAATATCTTTTTCATCAACTGTATTTGGTACGCAGGATCACTCTGAGCATGTAATAGGTACTCAGTACTGGGTCAAACCATTTATTCTTGGTCAATCCCATTTTTCTATGATCCTGGGACAAAGTTTATATTAAACTTCCCCCTACATTTGTACAGGTTAATACTTCACGTGCTAGGGGGAAATTAACTTCTTAAAAAGGCAATGCAATTTAGAAACAGAAGAGCTTTTTCTCAAAAGGTCTTGAAAAGCCGTCGACACACACGTCACTGTGATAGCTCTTTGAAGAGCGGGAGTCATTGTGTAACCTTAACTTGCAAGTCACACTCCAGGCCAGAAATAAAAGTAAGTACAGGGTATCAGCCGTGAAGTACAGAGGCCATAAAGATGCTGGACACGAGTGCTGGACTCCGGCACGGCTGGGTTTTTTAAAGATCGTCCCAAGAAAGTAGCTCTGGGGCTCAAACAAAATGAAACAACCGCGCTGACACGAACAGTGAAGAAAGTTCTGCCCTGCGATCTGCAGCACGAGGAGACGCACGCTGGGGGCCACCGGCCGGACAGCGCCGGGCTCGGGGACGGCGGCACCCGGGAGGTTCTTCACCAGCAGCCGCGGCCCGCGGCGGCCCGGCCCAAGCCGCCTCCCCCGCGGGTCGGCCCCGCATTCCTGCCCGGGTCTATACTTAACCTCCGGCCCGCGCCCCGGGCCGCCGCGCCACGCCGTGCACCGTATTAGGCAATGCCCGGCGAGCAGGGCCCCGGCACCCCCCCCCCTCCCCGCCGCTCCATTCAACGCCGGCGGCCGCTGCGGCGCCCGCGCCCCTCCCCCACGGCCACCGCCCGCGCCCCCTCCCCGCGCCGCGCGCCCCCCGCAGCCGCCAGCGCCCCCGGAGCGCGGAGTGCCCGGGGACCGCGGCGTGCCCGGGGACCGCGGCGCGGGGGTGAGGGGTGGGGGACGGGGGGCGGAGGGAGGGAGGGCCCCTCGCGGCGCACGTACCCCGCGGTCATGGCGATGTTGTAGAAGGTGAGCCAGACGGTGGCCAGCAAGCCGAGGCGCCTCCTCTTGCCGGGGGCCTCCCTCTCCTCGCCGGCCTCCGAGGCGCCGCCGTTGGTGCCGTCCTCCTCGCTGGACGCCATGGTGGCTGTGCACCCGGGGGAGATGGAAGACAGCGGCAGCGGAGTGGGAGGGGGCCCGGCCGAGCGCGCCGCTGAAGCGCCGCCGCCCGCTGCCGCCGCCTCGGTCAGGCGCCCCATGTGCCGCGCGCAGGGGGCTCGGCGCCTACTGCCCGGCCGCCCGCAGGGGGAGGAGCGGGCGCCCCCCGCCGCCGCCCCGGCCGCCCCGCCCCCGGCCCTCGGGAGCGCGCGCGCGGCGCGGGGGGCCTGGCCGCCGGGCCTGGGAGCCGGGGCTCGGGGTCCCGCGAGCCCCCGGGTACGGGTTCGAGGCGGCCGTGTGGTTTCGCTCCCACGGAAACCTCTCTGCTTCTCTAACTGCGGGAGCCCCCTGTTAGAGACGCCCCAGATGTCCCGGGCGCTGGCGACGTGCCCCTCGCTAGCGTGTTTAGTCGGGACGCACGGAACGCACCTGGACTTGGCGCGGCCCTGCCCCGCCCTGCCTTGGGGAGGGCAGTTTCTGGACGCTGGGACGGGTAGTGGGATCCTGCCGCCGAAGACTCCCTAAGACCCCCTGGGGGAGACGCGCGCACTTCAGCCGGTTTCCCTCGTACGGGCCAGGGGGTCATGCACAGCGGGAACATGGTAGGATTGCCTCACTTGTGTGGATTCCCCTGGAGCCAGTGTTCTCGAGGCATGGACTCCAGCGCAGGGCAGTGCCGGATGTTAGACAGAAGCTGGAGGAAAGACAGGACGAGATACCAAAGGATAAAAGTGTGAGCGGACACAGGAAGCTACAGACACAGGGCTAACCAGAGCCTTTTCCCGCAGTCAGGAGGATCTCCCTGTCTCCACTCTATCCCTTTCCCTTTTCTGCCTTTCCCCGGACACCCGTGCTTTCTCCCCATGGCTCTTTGCTCTTCCCCTTACATACAGCACACAGTTGGGAAGGCAGGCTCCAGAGTCAGATTACTGAAATTGAAACCCCAAATTCTTGGCTCCACCAGTCTCCCTAGCTTGGGAACTTGGACACCTAAACTGCTCTATGCCTCAGTTTCCTCAATGGGAGTAATTTATAAACCTATGTCGTGGGGTTTTGTGAGACGCAAGTGAGATCACTTACGTAAATCGCTCACAGTCCCGAAACGGGTTGAGTCACCCCAAATCGGCGTGTGATCACCATTCTGGCAACTCGGATCTTTGTTGATCCAGCGAGAGAAATTCTGTGCGGGCCTGTGGAAACGATCTGCCTGTTAGGCTGTGCTGCTGGAACCTGAGCCTGGCCCTGGGCGGGGGACAGCCACCGGAAGACCACATAGTCACAGGAGGCTGGGGGCACCTCGCCATACAGACTCGTTCTTATCGGGAGGAGAGCGTGGGGGAAGTCAGGTTGTGATCTGGCCTCTGGGCACCTGATCGGGGCAGCACTACCAGCCTGCCTGCGAAACTTAAGACACTTTTGAGGAAGACATTCTAGTAAGGGAGGAGTCTGACATGTTTCTGGGGAAGAAATAATGGCCGGAAAATGTTCAAATTTGATGAGAACTGTGAACGACAATTTTTCAAGACACTTAAATTGGGAAGGAAGAAGTAAAAACTATTTGCAAATGACAACATTGTATAATTAGAAAAGCCCAAAGAATCCACAAAAAAAGTACTGGAACTAGTTCCACGCTACAAGTCAATGTAAAAAAAAAACTAATTATTTTTTACATATTAGAAAAGAAAACTGGAAATTGACAGGGAATTTATACCCAAAATATATAAACAATCTTACAACTCAATAGTATTACAAACTGATTTGGGGCACCTGGGTGACTCAGTCGGTTAAACATCTGACTCTTCATCTCAGCTCAGGTCATGATTTCATGGTTCCTAGGATCCAGCCCCCATTGAGCTCTGTGCCAGCAGCATGGATCCTGCTTGAGATTCTCTCTCTCTCCCTCTCTCTCTGCTCCTCCCCTGCTTGCTTTCTCTGTCTCTCTCGAAATTAATAAGTAAACCTAAAAAATTTTTAAAAATAACAAACCGGGGTGCCTGGGTGGCTTAGTTGGTCGAGCATCCGACGTAGGTGCAGGTCGTGATGTGGTGGTTTGTGGGTTCGAGCACCACATCGGGCTCTGTGCAGACAACTCTGGAGCCTGCTTTGGATTCTGTCTTCCTCTGTCTGCCACTCCCCTGCTCATGCTCTGTCTCTGTCTCTCTCTCTCTCTCAAAATAAATAAACATTAAAGAAATTTTTAAGAATTCGATTTTTTTAAATGAGCAAATGATGGAAACAGGCTCTTTGCAAAAAAGATATATAAATAACAATAGCATATACAAAGACATCCAATCTTATTAGTCATTAGGGAAATGCAAATCAAACCCACAATGAGGTATCACTACTATTTTCAGTGCTGACAAGGATGTGGAGCAACTGGCATTCTCGTACGTGGCTAAAGAGCATAACACTTGGTAATTTCTTTAAAAAGATCGCATATTCTTGGTTACCATATGACCCAACAATTTCATTATTAATTGTTTAACCAAGAGAACAAAAACAAATCCACACAGAATTGGACATAAATGTTCATAACAGCTTTATTCCTGGCAAGCCCAAACTGAAAATAATCCACATGTCCATCAACATGCAAAATAAAATAAATTGCAAAGTGCTCCGGGAGTTAAAGAGCAGTCAGAAAACATACCTTGTTTGGGGGATCGAAAAAGCCTCCGTGCAAGAAATCGCCATTGTATACTTGAAGAATAAGTATGATTTTGACAGACTGCAAGAGATATTGCAGGCTGAGGGCTCACCATGAACATCGAGGAACCAACAAACCTGAGGAAAAGGGAATTGTGTGTTTTGGTTAAACCTTACAAGTATCAGGAGAAAGAATAGAAACATGTTGAGAAATACTCTATTTTAAGAGGCAGACGTGAACTTTTGAAGACTTGTGAAGAGGAAAATCATACTAAAGAAACCTCTTTTCAAAGATGAATTAGGCAGCAGGAGATGAGATCAATCGTCCTCGAGGAGGGAAGTAACAGGAAGTAACAAAGGCCAGAACTGGGTTGGTGTGGTCAATTTCAGCATGAAGAGAGGAATGAATGAGGAGACTTCTTGAAACACAACAGAATCAAAGAAAGATTTTTATTTGCTGAAGTGGAGGTGCCATAAAACAGGGAGAGATTGTCTATGTGAAATAGGCTATATATGAAGCAAGATCCTCTGACTGTGGGAAGATGAGAGATTCAGAAAGATGGAGGAATTGGGTTTTAAAAAGAGAAGAGACACTTCTTTCTCAGATAGGAATGAAGGAAGTAGAGGTAGAGATATTTTGAGGTAGGGAACGGAAAGTTGCAGTAGGGAACCTAACTGAAAGCAAGGTGTCTTGACAGCACAGAAGGTTTGGAATAGCATTTAACATAACCTTGTTTGATTTCTCAAAACGTCTTTGATTTTTATCCATCTGGGGATTAGTCCTTGCCTTTAGGATAAAAACTGATTACTTAGCTTGATTTCAGAGCTCACTACTATAACCTGAGCCCAAGGGAGCCAATCAAACATTATCTCTTAGTAGGTATCTGTCCCCAGAATACTGTGATCCAACCACGCAGGTCTACTCATTGTCTATAAACTGATCTGGATAGCCTTTAATCAAATCTTGCATTCTTTTCATCCTACAAAAGTGCTATTTCCCCTTGTGTAAATTGCATTCACTCTCCAAGGCTGCATTTAATACCAGTTCTTTCAAGTGGCTTTCCTTGATCAGCTTGTATCGGGACCCTTGTTTTTCCCAGCTAAAATAGTTTGTATTGATCATGGATCATTCATTTTGGCAGTAAATTATATATTGTCTTCTTTTTACTTAACTTATGCTTGTATATATTTTGTCTGGGAGCACAATTGCATATCAGAGATCATGAACTATATTTTCAAAAATCCTTTTCAAAGGCCAATTAATATTTTGCAATCTTTAGTAGCCGTATTGATATATAACTGACATGCAGGATAGTGCATGTATTTAAAGTGTACACCTTAATAAACTTTGACCTATGTATTGTCTATGAAGCCTTTATCACAAGCAAGATAGTGAACATATCAATCATCTCAAAAAGTTCCTCTGTGTTCCTTTTTCAATGCCCCTTATCACATCCCACACTGTTCCCAGGCAACCACTGATCAGCTTTCCTTCATTACAGATTAGTTTGCATTTTCACTAATTTTCTATAAATGAAGTCATACATTACATACTCTTTTCTGTCTGGCTTATTTTACTCAAAATAATTATTTTTTTAAATTTTTAAATGTTTATTTCAGAGAGAGAGAGAAAGAGTGTAAGCAGGGGGGTAGAGAGGGCACAGAGAGAGAGGAAGACACAGAATCCGAAGCAGGCTCCAGGCCCTAAGCTGTCAGCACAGAGCCTGATTTGGGGCTCAAACTCATGAACCGTTAGATCATGACCTGAGCTGAAGTCAGATGCTTAACCAGTTGAGTCACCCAGGCACCCCATTTACTCATAATAATTATTTTCAGCAGGTCCAGCTACATGGCATGTGGCTTCTGTAGTCCCATGGGGTCCTCTGCTCAAAAGGGCCTGGCACTTGATTTAATGCTGTTTTAATTTAATGTTGTTTCTGTGTTGAAATTCTTAATAATTTATGAATAAGAGGGCCCATATTTTCACTTTGCACTGTGTCCCACAAATTTTGTAGCTGAACCTGAATTTGAGATTTGGGTGATATATATCAGTAATTCACTCTCTTTTGCTGCTGAGCAGTATTCCATTATATGGATATACCACAATTTACTTATCCATTCACCACATTTGTTTATCTATTCACATTTAGATATTTTTTCCCCAGTTACAAGTAAAGAGTTATGAACATTTGTTTACCAGTCTTTTGTGGAGATACAATTTCATTTTTCTTAGGTATATACTTAGCAGTGGAGTGACCAGGTCACATATATATGTCTAACTTTTTAAGGAAACTGCTAAAGTGTTTCCAAAAGTGGTTGTACCATTTTATGTTCCTAATAGCTATATTTAAGTTTCGGTTGCTTCATATCCTAGCCAATACCTCGTATGGTCAGTCTTAGATTTTATATTTTAATAGATGTGTTGTGCTATCTTATTATGTTTTTTAAAGATGGTTTTATTTATCTTTAATTTAAAAATTTT